ACACTGTACAACATTGTAGTGAATAATATATTTTCGATCCAATATACAATATTGTAGTAAATAATATGTACTCGAATTTAAAGATATCCGGGACCTCCCGCACCCTAAGCGGAAAATCATACCCCTAGACCAACGAGCGACATACTCTACCCAGTGCGTGTTTGTGTTGCATCCAATGTTCAACATTGTAGTAAATAATATGTGCTCGAATTTCAAGAAAAGTCCGGGGTTCGTCCGGAATTTGAACCCGAGACCTCCCGCACCCTAAGCGGAAATCATACCCCTAGACCAACGAGCCACGCGGTACACTCAATAAACACATTTTACACATGGTTTGCCACTTACGTTTATTATCTAAGCCAAAATCATACCCCTAGACTAACTAGCCACGGGTTCTATCCAGTGCGTGTTTGTGTTGCATTCAATGTACAACATTATAGTAAATAATATATTCTCGATCCAATATACATTATTGTAGTAAATAATATGTGCTTAAATTTAAAGAAATGTTCGGGCTCGTCCGGGATTTGAACCCGGGACCTCCCGCACCCTAAGCGGAAATCATACCCCTAGACCAACGAGCCACGCGATATGCTCAATAAACCATTTTACACTATGTAGTTTCCACGTACATTTATTAATCTAAGCCAAAATCATAACCACGCGACCAACTACCACAGTTTCTATCCAGTGCGTGTTTTGTGTTGCATTCAATGTACAATTTAAAGAAATGTCCGAGCTCGTCCGGGATTTAAACCCGGGACCTCCCGCACCCAAAACTGAAATCATACCCCAAGACCAACGAGCCGCCGGTTTCACCCAGTGCGTGTTTTGTGTTGATACAATATACAACATTGTAGTAAATAATATATTTTCGATCCAATACAATATTGTAGTAAATAATATGTACTCGAATTTAAAGAAATGTCCGGACTCGCCTGGGAGTTGAACCCGGGACATCCCGCACCTTAAGCAGATATCATACCCCTAGACCAACGATCCTATATAAAAAATTGTAGTAAATAATAGGTACTCGATTTGAAGAAATGTCCGGGCTCGTCCGGGATTTGAACCCGGGACCTCCCGCACCCAAAGCGAAAATCATACCCTAGACCAACGAGCGATGTATTCTACCTAGTGCGTGTTTGTGTTGATCCATGTACAACATTGTAGTAAAATAGGCACTCCCAATTTAAAGAAATGTCAGGGCTCGTCCGGGATTTGAACCCGGGACCTCCCCCACCCAAAGCGGGAATCATACACTGCGTATTTGTGTTGCATCCAATGTACAACATGCCACGGGTTCTACTCAATAAAAAACACATTTTAACACATGATTTGATAAGCGGAAATCATAAACCTTAGACCAACAAGCCACGAGTTTTATCCAGTGCATGTGTGTGTTGGAACCAATGTACAACATTGTTGTAAATAATATGTTCTCGTCCGGGATTTGAACCCGGCACCTCCCGCACCCGAAGCGGAATCATACCCTAGACCAACGAGCCAAGGGTTGTACCCACTGCGTATTTGTGTTGCATCCAATGTACAACATGCCAAGGGTTCTACTCAATAAACACATTACACATGTTTTACCACTTACGTTTAAATCTAAGCCGAAATCATAACCCTAGACTAACAAGCCACGGGTTTTATCCAGTGCATGTTTGTGTTGGAACCATGTACAACATTGTTGGTAAATAATATGTTCTCGATCCACTATACAATACTGTAGTAAATAATATGTGCTCGAATTTAAAGAAATGTCCGTGCTCGTGTAAACTACATATATGATGAATGATATAATCATCAATACTATTGGGGTATAAACAATATGCGTTGAATATTCCAGAGTATAAATAATAACTACTTTACGCGCCCCCGGGTGGGCTCGAACCAACAACCTTTCGGTTAACAGCCGAACGCCCTAGCCAATTGCGCCACGGAGGCTCTAATCGCTTCTTGATAATTAATACATCTCAATAAACACATTTTACACATGATTTGCCCATTGCGTGTTTGTGTTGCATCCAATGTACAACATTGTAGTAAATAGTACGTGCTCGAATTTATAGGGACCTCCCGCACCCTAAGCGGGAATTATACCCCAAGACCAGCGAGCCACGCGGTCTACTCAATAAACCTCTATACCAACAAGCCACGGGTTCTATCCAGTGCGTGTTTGTGTTGGATCCAATGTACAACTTTGTAGTAAATAATAGGCACTCGAATTCAAAGAAATGCCAGGGCTCGTCCGTGATTTGAACCCGGGACCTTCCGCACCCAAAGCGGGAATCATACCCCTAGACCAACTAGCCACGGGTTCTACCCAGTGCGTGTTTGTGTTGCATCCATGTACAACATTGTAGTAAATAATAAGCACTCGAATTCAAAGAAATGTCAGGGCTCGTCCGGGATTTGAACCCGGAACCTCCCGCACCCAAAGCGGAATCATACCCCTAGACCAACGAGCCACGAGTTGTACCCACTGCGTATTTGTGTTGCATCCAATGTACAACATGCTACGGGTCTACTCAATAAATTTGTGTTGCATCCAATGTACAACATGCTACGGGTCTACTCATAAACAACATTTTACAACATGATTTGCCACTACATTTATATCTAAGCCGAAATTATTACCCTAGACCAACAGCCACGGGTTTTATCCAGTGTATGTTTGTGTTGGAACCAATGTACAACATTGTTGTAAATAATATGTTCTCGATCCAATATTCAATACTGTAGTAAATAATATGTGCTCGAATTTAAAGAAATGTCCGGGCTCGTGTAAACTACATATATGATGAATAATATAATCATCAAATACTATTGGGTAAAAACAATATGCATTGAATATTCCAGAGTATAAATAATAACTTCTTTACGCCCCCGGTGGGCTCGAACCACCAACCTTTCGTTAACAGCCGAACGCGCTAGCCAATTGCGCCACGGAGGCCCTTATCGCTTCTTGATAATAGTAGGAGTAAATTATATATAGCATAAACAATAATTATAATATTGAACAATACACTAATCTGTAACCACGGCGCAACCAGTGCCCAATACCTGTCCATACATCGGGCCCGATTCACTTCACACACAAATAGTTAACATATACTTCACTCCTATAAACTATACAAACTATACAAAGTCTACTTTCGGTTTGAGGGACAGCTTCTGAAACGCTGTACCCCATGTAATAATATATGCGCTCGAATTGAAAGAAATGCCCGCGCTCGTCCAAGATTTGAACCCGGGACCTCCCCTACCCAAAGCGGGAATCATACCCCTAGACCAACGAACCACATGTTCTACCCAGTGCGTTTTGTGTTGCATCCCATGTACAACATTATAGTAATACCATTCTCGATCCAATACATTATTGTAGTAAATAGATATGCGCTCGTATTTAAGAAATGCCCGGGCTTGTCCGGGATTTGAACCGAACCTCCCGCACCCTAAGCGGATATCATACCCCTAGACAACGAGCCACGTGGTATACTCAATAACACATCTTACACATGTTTGTTTGCCACTTACATTTATTATCTAAGCCAAAATCATACCCCTAGACCAACTAGCCACGGGTTCTACCAGTGCGTGTTTGTGTTGCATCCAATGTACAACATTGTAGTAAATAATATGTTCTCGATCCAATATACATTATTGTAGTAAATAATATGTAGACCAACGAGCCGCCGGTTTCACCCAGTGCGTGTTTGTGTTGGATACACTGTACAACATTGTAGTGAATAATATATTTTCGATCCAATATACAATATTGTAGTAAATAATATGTACTCGAATTTAAAGATATCCGGGACCTCCCGCACCCTAAGCGGAAATCATACCCCTAGACCAACGAGCGACATACTCTACCCAGTGCGTGTTTGTGTTGCATCCAATGTTCAACATTGTAGTAAATAATATGTGCTCGAAATTCAAGAAAAGTCCGGGTTCGTCCGGAATTTGAACCCGAGACCTCCGCACCCTAAGCGGAAATCATACCCCTAGACCAACGAGCCACGCGGTATACTCAATAAACACATTTTACACATGATTTGCCACTTACGTTATTATCTAAGCCAAAATCATACCCTAGACTAACTAGCCACGGGTTCTATCCAGTGCGTGTTTGTGTTGCATTCAATGTACAACATTATAGTAAATAATATATTCTCGATCCAATATACATTATTGTAGTAAATAATATGTGCTTAAATTTAAAGAAATGTTCGGGCTCGTCCGGGATTTGAACCCGGGACCTCCCGCACCCTAAGCGGAAATCATACCCCTAGACCAACGAGCCACGCGATATGCTCAATAAACACATTTTACATATGATTTCCCACGTACATTTATTATCTAAGCCAAAATCATACCCCTAGACCAACTAGCCACAGTTCTATCCAGTGCGTGTTTGTGTTGCATTCAATGTACAACATTGTAGTAAATAATATGTTCTCGATCCAATATACATTATTGTAGTAAATAATATGTGCTGGAATTTAAAGAAATGTCCGAGCTCGTCCGGGATTTAAACCCGGGACCTCCCGCACCCAAAACTGAAATCATACCCCAAGACCAACGAGCCGCCGGTTTCACCCAGTGCGTGTTTGTGTTGGATACAATATACAACATTGTAGTAAATAATATATTTCGATCCAATATACAATATTGTAGTAAATAATATGTACTCGAATTTAAAGAAATGTCCGGACTCGCCTGGAAGTTGAACCCGGGACATCCCGCACCTTAATCAGATATCATACCCCTAGACCAACGATCCTATATAAAAAATTGTATTAAATAATAGGTACTCGATTTGAACAAATGTCCGGGCTCGTACGGGATTTGAACCCGGGACCTCCCGCACCCAAAGCGAAAATCATACCCCTAGACCAACGAGCGATGTATTCTACCTAGTGCGTGTTTGTGTTTGATCCAATGTACAACATTGTAGTAAATAATAGGCACTCCAATTTAAAGAAATGTCAGGGCTCGTCCGGGATTTGAACCCGGGACCTCCCGCACCCAAAGCGGGAATCATACACTGCGTATTTGTGTTGCATCCAATGTACAACATGCCACGGGTTCTACTCAATAAACACATTTTACACATGATTTGATAAGCGGAAATCATAACCCTAGACCAACAAGCCACGAGTTTTATCCAGTGCATGTGTGTGTTGGAACCAATGTACAACATTGTTGTAAATAATATGTTCTCGTCCGGGATTTGAACCCGGCACCTCCCGCACCCGAAGCGGGAATCATACCCCTAGACCAACGAGCCACGGGTTGTACCCACTGCGTATTTGTGTTGCATCCAATGTACAACATTGTAGTAAATAATATGTTCTCGATCCAATATACATTATTGTTGTAAATAATATGTAGACCAACGAGCCGCCGGTTTCACCCAGTGCGTGTTTGTGTTGGATACACTGTACAACATTGTAGTGAATAATATATTTTCGATCCAATATACAATATTGTAGTAAATAATATGTACTCGAATTTAAAGATATCCGGGACCTCCCGCACCCTAAGCGAAAATCATACCCCTAGACCAACGAGCGACATACTCTACCCAGTGCGTGTTTGTGTTGCATCCAATGTTCAACATTGTAGTAAATAATATGTGCTCGAATTTCAAGAAAAGTCCGGGTTTGTCCGGAATTTGAACCCGAGACCTCCCGCACCCTAAGCGGAAATCATACCCCTAGACCAACGAGCCACGCGGTATACTCAATAAACACATTTTACACATGATTTGCCACTTACGGTTATTATCTAAGCCAAAATCATACCCCTAGACTAACTAGCCACGGGTTCTATCCAGTGCGTGTTTGTGTTGCATTCAATGTACAACATTATAGTAAATAATATATTCTCGATCCAATATACATTATTGTAGTAAATAATATGTGCTTAAATTTAAAGAAATGTTCGGGCTCGTCCGGGATTTGAACCCGGGACCTCCCGCACCCTAAGCGGAAATCATACCCCTAGACCAACGAGCCACGCGATATGCTCAATAAACACATTTTACATATGATTTCCCACGTACACTTATTATCTAAGCCAAAATCATACCCCTAGACCAACTAGCCACAGTTCTATCCAGTGCGTGTTTGTGTTGCATTCAATGTACAACATTGTAGTAAATAATATGTTCTCGATCCAATATACATTATTGTAGTAAATAATATGTGCTGGAATTTAAAGAAATGTCCGAGCTCGTCCGGGATTTAAACCCGGGACCTCCCGCACCCAAAACTGAAATCATACCCCAAGACCAACGAGCCGCCGGTTTCACCCAGTGCGTGTTTGTGTTGGATACAATATACAACATTGTAGTAAATAATATATTTTCGATCCAATATACAATATTGTAGTAAATAATATGTACTCGAATTTAAAGAAATGTCCGGACTCGCCTGGGAGTTGAACCCGGGACATCCCGCACCTTAAGCAGATATCATACCCCTAGACCAACGATCCTATATAAAAAATTGTAGTAAATAATAGGTACTCGATTTGAAGAAATGTCCGGGCTCGTACGGGATTTGAACCCGGGACCTCCCGCACCCAAAGCGAAAATCATACCCCTAGACCAACGAGCGATGTATTCTACCTAGTGCGTGTTTGTGTTTGATCCAATGTACAACATTGTAGTAAATAATAGGCACTCCAATTTAAAGAAATGTCAGGGCTCGTCCGGGATTTGAACCCGGGACCTCCCGCACCCAAAGCGGGAATCATACACTGCGTATTTGTGTTGCATCCAATGTACAACATGCCACGGGTTCTACTCAATAAACACATTTTACACATGATTTGATAAGCGGAAATCATAACCCTAGACCAACAAGCCACGAGTTTTATCCAGTGCATGTGTGTGTTGGAACCAATGTACAACATTGTTGTAAATAATATGTTCTCGTCCGGGATTTGAACCCGGCACCTCCCGCACCCGAAGCGGGTATCATACCCCTAGACCAACGAGCCACGGGTTGTACCCACTGCGTATTTGTGTTGCATCCAATGTACAACATGCCAAGGGTTCTACTCAATAAACACATTTACACATGTTTTGCCACTTACGTTTAATATCTAAGCCGAAATCATAACCCTAGACTAACAAGCCACGGGTTTTATCCAGTGCATGTTTGTGTTGGAACCAATGTACAACATTGTTGTAAATAATATGTTCTCGATCCACTATACAATACTGTAGTAAATAATATGTGCTCGAATTTAAAGAAATGTCCGTGCTCGTGTAAACTACATATATGATGAATGATATAATCATCAAATACTATTGGGGTATAAACAATATGCGTTGAATATTCCAGAGTATAAATAATAACTACTTTACGCCCCCGGGTGGGCTCGAACCAACAACCTTTCGGTTAACAGCCGAACGCCCTAGCCAATTGCGCCACGGAGGCTCTAATCGCTTCTTGATAATAGTAACACATCTCAATAAACACATTTTACACATGATTTGCCCATTGCGTGTTTGTGTTGCATCCAATGTACAACATTGTAGTAAATAGTACGTGCTCGAATTTATAGGGACCTCCCGCACCCTAAGCGGGAATTATACCCCAAGACCAGCGAGCCACGAGGTCTACTCAATAAACCTCTATACCAACAAGCCACGGGTTCTATCCAGTGCGTGTTTGTGTTGGATCCAATGTACAACTTTGTAGTAAATAATAGGCACTCGAATTCAAAGAAATGCCAGGGCTCGTCCGTGATTTGAACCCGGGACCTTCCGCACCCAAAGCGGGAATCATACCCCTAGACCAACTAGCCACGGGTTCTACCCAGTGCGTGTTTGTGTTGCATCCAATGTACAACATTGTAGTAAATAATAAGCACTCGAATTCAAAGAAATGTCAGGGCTCGTCCGGGATTTGAACCCGGGACCTCCCGCACCCAAAGCGGGAATCATACCCCTAGACCAACGAGCCACGAGTTGTACCCACTGCGTATTTGTGTTGCATCCAATGTACAACATGCTACGGGTTCTACTCAATAAACACATTTTACACATGATTTGCCACTTACATTTAATATCTAAGCCGAAATTATTACCCTAGACCAACAAGCCACGGGTTTTATCCAGTGTATGTTTGTGTTGGAACCAATGTACAACATTGTTGTAAATAATATGTTCTCGATCCAATATTCAATACTGTAGTAAATAATATGTGCTCGAATTTAAAGAAATGTCCGGGCTCGTGTAAACTACATATATGATGAATAATATAATCATCAAATACTATTGGGTAAAAACAATATGCATTGAATATTCCAGAGTATAAATAATAACTTCTTTACGCCCCCGGGTGGGCTCGAACCACCAACCTTTCGGTTAACAGCCGAACGCGCTAGCCAATTGCGCCACGGAGGCCCTTATCGCTTCTTGATAATAGTAGGAGTAAATTATATATAGCATAAACAATAATTATAATTATTGAACAATAATGGGTATAAAAAACAATTATTCTTATACCCATTAAACTACACTAATCTGTAACCCACGGCGCAACCAGTGCCCAATACCTGTCCATACATCGGGCCCGATTCACTTCACACACAAATAGTTAACATATACTTCACTCCTATAAACTATACAAACTATACAAAGTCTACTTTCGGTTTGAGGGACAGCTTCTGAAACGCTGTACCCCCATGTAATAAATAATATGCGCTCGAATTGAAAGAAATGCCCGCGCTCGTCCAAGATTTGAACCCGGGACCTCCCCTACCCAAAGCGGGAATCATACCCCTAGACCAACGAACCACATGTTCTACCCAGTGCGTGTTTGTGTTGCATCCAATGTACAACATTATAGTAAATACCATTCTCGATCCAATATACATTATTGTAGTAAATAATATGCGCTCGTATTTAAAGAAATGCCCGGGCTTGTCCGGGATTTGAACCCGAAACCTCCCGCACCCTAAGCGGATATCATACCCCTAGACCAACGAGCCACGTGGTATACTCAATAAACACATCTTACACATGTTTTGCCACTTACATTTATTATCTAAGCCAAAATCATACCCCCTAGACCAACTAGCCACGGGTTCTATCCAGTGCGTGTTTGTGTTGCATCCAATGTACAACATTGTAGTAAATAATATGTTCTCGATCCAATATACATTATTGTAGTAAATAATATGTAGACCAACGAGCCGCCGGTTTCACCCAGTGCGTGTTTGTGTTGGATACACTGTACAACATTGTAGTGAATAATATATTTTCGATCCAATATACAATATTGTAGTAAATAATATGTACTCGAATTTAAAGATATCCGGGACCTCCCGCACCCTAAGCGAAAATCATACCCCTAGACCAACGAGCGACATACTCTACCCAGTGCGTGTTTGTGTTGCATCCAATGTTCAACATTGTAGTAAATAATATGTGCTCGAATTTCAAGAAAAGTCCGGGTTCGTCCGGAATTTGAACCCGAGACCTCCCGCACCCTAAGCGGAAATCATACCCCTAGACCAACGAGCCACGCGGTATACTCAATAAACACATTTTACACATGATTTGCCACTTACGTTTATTATCTAAGCCAAAATCATACCCCTAGACTAACTAGCCACGGGTTCTATCCAGTGCGTGTTTGTGTTGCATTCAATGTACAACATTATAGTAAATAATATATTCTCGATCCAATATACATTATTGTAGTAAATAATATGTGCTTAAATTTAAAGAAATGTTCGGGCTCGTCCGGGATTTGAACCCGGGACCTCCCGCACCCTAAGCGGAAATCATACCCCTAGACCAACGAGCCACGCGATATGCTCAATAAACACATTTTACATATGATTTCCCACGTACATTTATTATCTAAGCCAAAATCATACCCCTAGACCAACTAGCCACAGTTCTATCCAGTGCGTGTTTGTGTTGCATTCAATGTACAACATTGTAGTAAATAATATGTTCTCGATCCAATATACATTATTGTAGTAAATAATATGTGCTGGAATTTAAAGAAATGTCCGAGCTCGTCCGGGATTTAAACCCGGGACCTCCCGCACCCAAAACTGAAATCATACCCCAAGACCAACGAGCCGCCGGTTTCACCCAGTGCGTGTTTGTGTTGGATACAATATA